GAAAAAGCTGCATTTTGACTTGATCAGTTATTGATTTTCTGTCAACAGACTAAATGATTGATTGACTAATCATTTCACCATTGCATAGCTGACTTATATATATATAAATTACAGTGGTATTTCTTTGTGAGTTAAACAGAAGAGACTGAGATGGAGGAGAGCACACGGTCTTAACTTATTCAAACTGAACCAGCTGCTGCTCAGATTAGATTTGCAGCGTTTGGGTTGTTTGATATTTGAAAAGTTTCTTCTCTCAGCTGCAAAGCAAAGAAAACTCCAGCAGGCAGATTTAAAACACGGAAACGGACACCTTGTGAGATCAGATAAAAGCAGCAGAGAGTCGAGGTTTTTCCTCTTGTGTTCAGATCGTCTCCATTTCAGCGGCCAAATACCTCGGTCATCCCTGAGACATCCATGGCAACGTGAGCTCCTCGGCTCACTCTTTTCAGTCAGTGAGGCTGTTGATGGGAAAATTAAATGAAATAATCCCATTTAACGGGACGCCTGTTCCTCAGATGCACAGAGGGCAACGTGAGGCCGCTCAGTGTGATTACATTTGCATATTTTTCTAAAGCAGTGTGAGTCTGGGAGAAACATTAACGTTGACGTCTTTGTCTAATGAAGATAATCAGTCTGGCATGTGTGATGAAAACGCGAAAGTAGAAATATGAATATCTCACTGAGATGAGTAAAAAAGTTGCAGGAAATCAAAAGATAATGAGGATTTATTACAAATAACTTTTTACTTTAATGATGTGAATACAACAGAAGTGTGCTCTTAATTTTTCCTTCTTTAACACTATCAGACATTTTTCTTTTCTTTCTGTGCCGCTGATGTTTCTGCTCATTATTCTCTAAAAGCTCTGCAGCAGCTTTGAATGTTTGCCTGGATTAAACCAAATCTAATGTTGATTCGACTGAAGTGTTTGTGACAGGACCGTCAGTTATTTTTGGGCCGTGTGTTTGCTGACGCCTCCGTCGTGATGGTATTGTTCTCTGTGTTTGGGGCCACGCTGCCTCTTCCTGTTTGCTGCCTTTCAGGAGACAAGTGGCCAATTCCGCTAAATCTCTATTTCATCTGATCTGTGTTTTGTTGCGGTGCCAGTTCTCTGCAGCTGCCAGGACAAACTCCGAGAGAAAAACCTTCACACACTTCTGTCTCACTCTTCATCCATGATCAACATCCCAGAAAGCTCCTAAGTCCGTGATAAAGCTGCAGGTTTTGCCGACCTCCTGTGCAGCGACATGAGAGAAGAGGTAGAAAGAGGACAGATGAAAACAGCAGCTGATGAACTGGTTTGTTAAAATGCAACAGTATAAATGCACACAGACGTCTAATATTAAGAAACATCAGCTCAGAGTTTTATTTTCATACGAAAGTCCCAATATATTTGGGCTCCCTCTGCCCTCTTAGCTGCTGTTGCTAACATATAACTCTGGAGCCAAAATATCCAGGGAGCAGGTGCTGCCGTCTTAGGTTGATTTCAACGAAACTTTGTGGAACAATGCAGTATGGGTAAAAAAAAAGGAACCCATACAATGTTGGCGCAGATCCATGAATTTCGTTTCACTCTGTTGAACATTGTGAAATTTATCAACATTTTCAGAGTTTTACCAGGAAATCATTTGTGGATCTTAATTAAAAACATCAGGCACCTTCGGGGAACTGATCTCTGTTGGGCCTTGGTGGAGGTATGTGCCATTCTAGTTATTTATTTTATCACGTCCTTTTCGTTTAATTAATTTACAGCTTTAGGGTTCTCCTCATTTATCCAGCAAGGTCATTGGCGACACTTGATTGTTGGCTTCTCATGTCCTGTGCTGTTGCAGGTGGAATTCACCTCCTCCAGCCTCTTATTGCTCCCCAGGGGGCCTCCCTCTGCTGCCGCTGAGATGGGGGAGGGCATCGATGAACGAACCAGCGGATCAATGGTCACCAAGCCGACCTCTCCATCCTCATCCAGCGCCTGTGGGAGGTCAACACTCAACGGCAGAGAGGACAGATTTACAGGGAGACCTGGGGAGCGAGGATATGAGACAGAGAGAGAGATTTAAGGAAAGGTTAGGAGGAGAGACTGAACAAAGAAATACACAGAAGCCGAAACAATGAAAACATGATTCACAAACTCATGGAAAAGCTGCAAAATGTAAGAAATGTCCACACAGGGAGGCCGACCCTGGCCAATCTGGGATTCGAACCAGGAACCTTCTTGCTTTGAGGAGACAGTGCTGCATCAACAAATACCCTCTGTCTATAATGAAGACCTCAGAGTAAAAGCAAATATATGGGTACTGCTGCGAAGTATATGAGATTTATATCACATTATATGTTCAATAATTACATCTTCACAGTAAACCTGCCTCCTCCATCCCCGTGAGATTTGAAACAACGTCTGGTTTTACGAGTTATAATCACGCAGGTTTTACAGTGAGGAGGCAGAGGGAGCTCTACTCCCCTGGCTGCTGTTATGGCCTCCTCATATTTAATAAAGGTGAATAACAGCTTTAAATCTCTGGCTGTGGAAAGACGGCTGCAGCTCCCCGATGGACGTCACCATCAAACATTCATTGCGACGAGATTTATTTTTTCCTCATTTCTATTATTTTTTAAGCGTGGCCTCCACGACACCTCCTCTACTGGCCTCTCTCTCCTCGTGATAAATAAACTCATAGTGGCCGTAACATCATACAGTGGTTTTTTGTATTCTGCTCCATTTAGCTGCACCTGTTCTGATTTCACTATATTGGAGCTAAACAAAGGAGTCCTCGGGCGATGGTAACAAAAGGCGAAGGTAACAGGAGCTGATGCCATTAGCAGGGAGGGTGGGGGGCTGGGACTGGATGTAAAGATTGAGGCTTTTTGAAGCACATTGCCTCTGTGTTGTTGGAGGTGGAGGTCAGAAGTAAATGTTGTGTTGTCTATGCAGGAATCCAGTTGTTACACTTCCCAACTCCATGACTCCAGAAGAAGAAGGAAAAAGTGGAGCTGTATTGTTCAAATAAAGCTGCTCTCAGACCTGCACTGATCTCCTGAAATTTTCCAGAGGGGCGGTATTTGAGAACGCAAATGTCAGAGTGAGCTGCTCCTGACATTTTGTGGAACTTTTCCTGTCAGCCGCCACCCCCCAAGTAAAATTCACTGGAGAACGTCAAAATCAGAAGCGCGAGAGAAAATGTCGAGAAAATCGAGCTAGTGGACGTGTTGACTATGTTTCTGACACACAGAGTTATCCAGAAAACTAGTTCATGTCTGAAAACCACTTCAGTAAGATGCATTGATTTCATTGTGGCTCAATTATATGTCGTATGATTAATGTGCTTTATCTCACAGCGGCTCAGAAACACTTGTATTTGACTCATTGAATTAAAGACACTGAAAAGAATCAGTATTTTCATATCAGAGCTCAATTCCTCAGGTTGCTCTGGGTTCGGAGCACAGTGCTCGAGTCCCCGTGCAACAGGAGAATCAGGTTTAGCAGCTTAGAAAAAAAAAAATCATGAGGCTATTAATTGCAGCACTGATTCCCTGCAGAGCCCCGGCTGGTTTGCACGGGGGACATTAAAAATGATGCTGACACGTGGAGGCCTTTTCCTGCTCACAGCTCTTCAGGCAGCACACACACATACACACAGGAAAATGATGAGTGCACTTTCTTTCGTGATGCTCTCCATTAGAGCAGCAGTGGACGAATATAGTGGACCAGCTGTTTGCTTTGTAGAAACGCTCGCTCACTTACTCTGACCTCGCTCCCTCCTATGGGAAGCCAAAGGCAGAGAGAAAGAACCATCCAGCTCACAATGCTGCACTTAAATGTGATTCAGCTGCAGCTTCAGCTGCTTTGGCCTTTTGTATTTTCACTGACAACATGGCACCGAGAGGCAGAGCGCCAATCCAACTCAGTGGCTAAGAAACACATCATTACAGAATTCCTCCTGTGCAAAACTGCAGTTTAAACACAGCTTTCAAAACGGTGAATAAACACACACAGGTCACAATTCTTCTCATTTCAAGAATGAATATTATGTTTTTATTTCTTATTCAAATGTTTTAATGCTGTTGTGTTTTTAATCATGCATTTCTATTTCTGTTCTCCACTGGGAGGGTCAGTCATTCCAATCATTTCCTCCCCTGTCCATTGGTTTGTTTGATTCTTTGTTTGTCAGCAGGATTACGCAAAAACTACCGAACACATTTCCACGGAACTTAGCAGAACCTGTTCAGTTTAGGTGTGGATCCAGGAATTACATTTCGTTTTTTATCGGTTTATTGACATTTTCACCGATATCAATATTGGTCGTGTTCATGTTCAGTATACCCACTGATTTCAGTGTAAAAGAGTAATAAGGGGACTGTTGGTCCTTGGGGGAGGTATACGTA